TGAAGTTCATCTCAAGGGCAGCGCATTCAGGAGTGTGGTAGGTTAGTCCTTCCTGTGTGCACAGGCAAGAGAAATGAAGGGACAAGATGCTAGAAGGCTTGGGTATTTCTGTGTCGCCTGCTCTGAGATTTCAGAGGACACATACATTCTGTGCTTGGAAATGTCTACATGGCAGTCTTGACTTTGAAGGTTGAATTCTAAAGAGGCTTGGAGAATACATTTTGACCCGTGTTTTTGTTCATCTGCACAGTGGGTGGTTTAATGAGGATGTCTTTGCTAATGCAAGAAACTCCATAGAAAATAGGGTAGCCTGTGTACAGCCCACATGCTGAATGTGAGGCAGACTATAGCTATAAAATTGACTTGAGTTTTATTCCAGTCAGAGAAGTGAACATCTAGCCAGTTTTTCTCTTCTATCCTGGCAACTTCTCCCCATATCATTGCCTGGCCTCACTTCCTTCTGATTCCTAAGAGTCAGAGCTTGGTCTCTGAAATGCCTCTCTGTATTATACTCCATTGTTCCCCCATTGCTTTATAATATGAGTCATATCTATTGAGCTTTTGTCTGCAGCTCTGGTCTCACATATGCACCCGGCTACTCCTTTCATATCTCCACCCGATGCCACTGGCCCAAGGTAGACTCTTGGATGCCCTCCTTCGCTTCTGCCTTGAGTTCTTCCCCACTGCTGAGGTGCGAATGTCACAGCGGCTCCCCTCTGCTCTGCTTGAGGGCTACTTCTTCAGGGAGGTCTCCTACACCTGTCCTTCTTCAGGGAGGTCTCCCACCCCCACTCTGCAGCTCTTCCTGCAGCTCCATCCCAGCCTCAAAGTACACAGCCTCCCCGGTCTCCTTTAGCCAATGCCCGCCGTGCCCCAGAGAGTGCCTGACTCACTGCGATCTGAATGCTTACAGAGCGGATGGAAGAAAGGAAGCATGGTTGGAAATGCTTGGACAAAGGAAAGACATGGGCCAAGTTCTGAGGATATACTTCCTTGATTTTTTTTAATCCAATAATTCCCTAATTTAGGAATTTTCCTAAATGAATTTTGCCTTTAGAAACAGCTTAAGTAGTTTTGGATCTCAAGGGGAAATGTTCACATATGAGCAATATAGAGAATCTTAACCATAGTTATTGAAGAAAATATGTTTACTCTGGCTTACATCTGGAGAAATACAACAGGCTTGTCCAGGATTTGAACCCAGGACCTCTTGAACTCTAAACAAGAAATCACATCCCCAGATTGCTTGAGACTTTAGGTGCAACACTTTCAGAGTGTAACAGACACTGAGTATTGCTTCCTGGTGTCCATTCCTTACCCCTTTATCAGTGGAACTGATGGTGCCAGGGCTGAGGGGTTGGCATAGGGGTGGGGCCAAACACCCTTCAGACCTGTTTCTCTCAGGCACACGGTGTGAGCTTAGAAGAAAGTTGTGAGTGGAGGCAACCTTTTTGGAGCTGACTTCTTCCACCACAGAACCAGGAGGTGATGCTCCTGTCTGCTGATATCCAGACTTGGATGGTTACATAGTTAGTTTCAAGTCCTGTAAGATGGATGCTAGAAATGGTCTCAAGAGCGTGCGTGGGTTCCTGTGTGCGTGCATGCATGCGTGTGTGTGTGTGTGTGTGTGTGTGTGTGTGTGATTTTGCATTTCTCCTCTGCGAGCCTTGCAGATAGAATTCGCTCTGTCTAAATTTATATGGTGTCACTTTTCTCTTTTGAGCGGTGGTGAGCCAAGGAGCCTCACACTTAGACACTGGCTCTAGTCGGTCTGTGTGTTGTAAACTTGTGAAAATTTAAAAACAAAATTCCACGCTCTACATTACCACTGAAAGAAGCTACAGTGCCATCTTCAGGCGATCTGGGGAAATGCAAGAAGTGTGAGTACAGCCAAACCGGGGGATCAAATTACCCAAGATGAGTGACAATTTGAAGAGAGTGAATGAAAGTAACCAAAGGGCTGTAAGTCTGTACTTTGGGGCGGGGCCTCTGAGTACATTTTGTAATGTCTAGGTAGCAGTGAGAATGAGCCTTTTCCTTAAACGGCAAATTTGGAAGCATTTTTTTTTCTTATGGTTTTAAACATTTGCATTTGACTAAAAGCATGAAAAGATGACTTTGGGATGGAAAGGAGCCTTTGAAAATTTCAAAGATAGGATTGAAATGATTAATCTTCATTCTATCCAGAGAGGGAAAGGCATACATTCCGAAGACAACTGGGCCACAGCAGGGCACCTGGCGTGATCCCTAGTGGCTCCAAGTGGTCACAGAGCAACAAACGAATCCGACTTCCCTTCTGGGGACTGTAGCTCCCTATAAAATTGGTATATAAATTGAGTGATAGTTTAAAGTCATTTAATTCATTAATATTTACTATTCTCTGTCGTCAGAGGAGTTAAAGCTTTCTGAAGGCCTGAGAACACATTTCTTTCACTGTAAGGAAAAATGACTGCAAAGCTCTGACCACATTAGTGCTGGTTTGGATAAACACCGTGGATATAGTTGGTTCTTAGCGGTGGTCGGTATCATTCAGATGCTAAGAATTCAACAACAGCTCAAAGCTGATCCCTCTTTGAAAGATTCCCTGCTGTCCTCTCCGGCCAGCTAGCCAGCTGGTGGCTCAGTCTTGACAGTCCCTGTCTTGTCTCATAATTCACCTGTGTCCACGAGCATGTAGCTGTCCCTGCTCCTCTGGCTTCCGGTATGCATCCCTGTGTCACCGTTGTGACCAGGGCCAGAGAGGAAACAACTTAAGAGAGGAAGAACTTGTTTGGGCTCCTGCTTGTGCTTGTTTTGGGGCTGAGATGAGGTAAGACACTGTGGTGCGGAGAGGAGGAGGCGGTCAGTGAGAACAGTGTTCACGGCATAGTGTCTGGTAAGTGGAGACTTACCGTGGAGTCTGGACCATTGAGATGTTCTCTTTCCTGTTTTTAGCCTGTCTAGGCTTCAGCCTATTAGATGATAAAACCCATATTCAGGTGGGTGAGTCTTTTCTCTTAGTTGATTATCTTGTGGGGACTTCACAGATGTATCTAGACCTGCTTTGCTGATCTCCTTGTACCCTGCACTCCAGTCAAGACCAACCAGACCCCACCCCGACATCTTTGTATGCCTCCTTGTTTGTTTGCTTGTTTGAGACAACTCCAGACTAGCCTCGAACTCTCCTCTGTGTAGTAGAAACCCTCCTGCTTTCACCTCAGCTCCCAAGTGCTGAGATTACAAAAGAACACCAACTCCTCTCAGTGTTGTGCAGTGATGGGTCAAAACCAGGGCTCTGTGTGCTAGACAGACACTCAGCCAACCAAGCTTCATCTTTATCCCGGCATGCATCCTTGTTCATAAACTCCCACTCTCTAACCAAAAGCCTCATTTCTCCATACCTTTGTCCCTAATGTAATATTGCTAGGTACATTTTGACTGAATGTCTATAAAACTTAAAATGGCCACCACTTGACAGCCTTTCAGGTAGATGTGAGTCAAATCTCTTATTTTTGCAGTATGTAGGAGGAGGGAAAGAGTAGATTCTTGAGCTTTTGGGGGAGGGGCGTAGTTTGGTGATCAGGTATGTTTTCTTCCTGTGGGAGAGTCGGTGTGTTTGTGTGTTAGAAAGGGGGAGGAGTGATGCATGTAGCTCCTGACCGTGGCCTCTGCAGTGGCTTCACCTGTGTCTGTTTTTTTAGTACCTTTCCAAGTTTATCGTGGAGATCTTTCAGGGTTTTTGTGCCAGCCGGAAACAGTTCTCGCCTCTCAGATGTGGAGCGCTATGTTGTTCACAGGGTTTGGGTACCAATTCGCCAGTCATCATCAATACCTGTACATCTAAGTAGTGCCTCAATCGTGGGGGAGGGGAGAACTTTATGGGAACCCCCCTCCATTCTGCACCTTATATTCTTGAGGTCCCTGTACCTGCGAGGTCTCCGTTAGGTGTTTAAAGATTCTGCCACGTTTTCTCTGACTGTTCTCAGTCTTATCTCTCAACACCCGGCCTCACAAACTGGCTTTCTAAGCATCCGGACTGTAGCTACAGTGTTTATAGCCGTGCATCTTTTTGAGCTCCTTTTTGGCAGAGAACTTGGAGAGAAGATCTGGGTGTGAATTCTCTAAGTACCCAACTTCTGTTCTGATACAGGCTCTTTGGCATGCCCAAGGGCACTAACCTTATCCTCTAGGGTTTGTATCCAGCAAATGAGGATTTCGATCTGATCTCTGCTTGTACTGCCCCACCCCCATCCCACCCCCCACCCCCACCCCCACATTAATATTCTTTGCTATTGCGCTTTAAGTTGGTATTGTCTGAGTGCTCTCCAGAAGGGCACCTCGCTCACTGGTTTTAGGCTGGTACTACTCCACGTTACTTGGGTTTACCTGGGTCTGCTGTCTCACACTGACAGCCTGGTTCAGTGTGGGATGTAAAACAGACACAGGTTGATTAACTTGGATCCATTTTCGAAAATCTGCCATGACTTAAAAGCATGAAGCTTTCCCTGGCAGGTTTCTGGCTTAATGTTGAGTCTTACAAGATCTGGCAAAGCCAGCTGTCACCCTTGCCAGTTGGAAGTCACCAACTACAGGAGCTCTATACTGCCTGCCCCTCCACTTGAGTCTCATTTGACGGCATCTCCTACCTTCCCAGCGTACACTGGTCTTTTTTTCTGGCTGCCAAGCAGTCACTGTGCTGTGGAGTCAGTATAGTCATTATGATGTGCTTCTGTCCTGTGTACCCTACAGACGTCCTGGTGGCAAGAACTTGACCAGTGATAAGCGAGCTCACAGACAGACAATCTGTAGTGACAGACTGGGCCTTCCATTAATCAGTAGTGACAAATGGTACCCATTTTCTAGTACCTCAGCAGATAGATGGGAAAGAGCCATTATAAATATTCCCTAGGCTTGGTTAAGCACTGTTGGGCCGAGGTCCAGTAGGTTAGGAAGGTTTCAGTGAAAACCCCATAAAACCAAAGCCCTCTATTCATATATATGCATTTTGTTTTCTTTTCTAGGTACCCTCTCCATAAATCAAACTCAGAAGACGGCTGTGTAGGTCAGTACCATTGCCCTGGATTTAAATATTGAATTGAACTTTATTTTCATAGATTATAGAAGATATATAGACATGTAGAGTTGTACACCTTGCCAAAATAGTAATATTATCATCACCATCATCATCATTGTCTGTCAACTCAGAAACAAACACTGTAAAAAGATTATGTGTGCCTGTGCGTGTGCGTGTGTGTGTGGTTGAAGGCCCCACTAGATGTCCTCCAGTCATTCTCCTCTTTACTTTTTGGGAGGTCTCTCATACTTGGAGCTCAAGTAGACCATCAGTTCAGGTAGAGCAGCTGACCGGCAGACTCTGGGCAGACCTGGCTGTCTTTGTCCTTGGCATTAGGGTTGCAGACACATGCTACCATGTTGTGCTTTTTTATTGTGGTTGCTGGGCATCCAAGCTCAGCTCAGCATGCTTGTTACTAAGCATCATATTGGCTGAGCCATCCTTCTGCCCCTGGTATTTGACGTACCATTTTCTTCTTTTTCTCGTTATGAATAGTTATTTTGAAAGTACAAGTAAGTATCATAGTCTATATACTGTTTTACAAGTCTTCAAAAATGGGACAGTTTGTGCATATTTCTACCTGATAAATGTTAGCAGAGAAAGGCTTACTTCTGCATCATATTGGATGTGTATAATCTCGTTGGCCAGCCTTTTTGCTAGATACTCATAATTTTCTCTGTCACAAGCACATACCACTGTTAGAGAAATCCTTAAGTTTGTTTCTCTGATGATGCCCTCTGACAAACCATTCCATTTGGAATGTGTAGATAAAAAAATATGCATTCAAGGCATTATAAATTTTATATATCCTTGATTATAAGATCTACTCTTGCTACAGCAAAGGCCAGAGGGTGGGTGTGTAATGAGCACTGAATTCTGGCCACCAGGATTTGAATCATAAATACTGACCCAGCAGTGACCATGGTTGGACATAAGGGTAATTTCAGCACATGGGAGCCTGAGGTGGGAAGGTACTGAGTTCTGGCCCAGCCTGAGATACATGATATGGCCCTGTTGCCATTATAAAGAAGGAGGAGAAGAAACACAAGAGAGATTTAAATGAGATAGGCTGTTAAATAGCGAACGGTTTGGATGTTGGAAGTGCTGAAAAGATGTTGGCTGTTTTTATTATCTCCATTTTACAGAAGCAGAATATGAGCCGGGTGGTGATGGCACATGCCTTTAATCCCAGCACTCATGAGGTGTACACATATAGAAGAGCGAAGGAAGAGAATACAGCTCGTAGATAGAGAAACTCGTGGTATCCTCCTCCCTAAGAAAAAAGGCCAAATGACTGACACCGAATGTGCTTTAACTCTTTATGGCTGACATCTGCTTGAAACTAGCCTCGAGGACCAAGAACCTAGGAAATCTAAGGCAGAAGGGCTTGGGTTTCATTATTGGGCTTCCAGGGCTGTCGACATATAAATGAGGACATCCTGTTTTGACAAATGACACCCTTGCTAGCTTGGGAGCACCAGAGATGGAGTTCCCACATGGCTGCTCCATGCATCATTGCTTGGCACCACCAGTCTAGACTGGGGAAGCCACCACTTTGCTAGGCCTTGTTTCCAGTGGCCACAGGGCAACCAGACAGACACCAAATGGAGACAGGGCTGCTGTCTTGGGCGTGCCACATCAGCACAGTGGCGGCCATTGTTGCCACTGCCTCCTCTTTTTAAAGAATAAAGAAGTTCCCTTCCCGTTCACTCACTGTCTTCCCTTATATTTGTCTTTTAAAAGTGTGTGTGTGTGTGTGTGTGTGTGTGTGTGTGTGTGTGTGTGAGAGAGAGAGAGAGAGAGAGAGAGAGAGAGAGAGAGAGAGAGAGAGAGGCAGAGACAGATAAACACTTTGCCTGTCATTCTTCAGAAGCTAGCTACCTGGTTGTGTGACACAACAGTCTCTCATTGGCCTAAAACACTCCAGGGCACTAGGCGGACTGGCCCAGGAGCCAGAAGGATCTGCCTGTCTCTCCCTGTCCCACAGTGGGATTGTAAGGATGTGCCGCCATGTGCAGCTTCCTTCACTATGTGGGTTCTAGGAGGTTGAACTTAGCTTCTTATGCTTGTAAAACAACCTTTTCACTGACTGAGCTATCATCAGCCTTTCTGTTTGCTTTTTAAAAGGTATTTTGTATTGTCAACTACTAGAAACATAATAGATTTAAAAAAAATGTCTATCGATGGCAAATTTGTTTTCATCGGTGAATCACCTGATCCACGTCTTTGATAGGAGGGAGATCAGAGCGACAGTGAGCTAGGAGAAATCACAGCAGGACCGGCCTCTGGTTTTCTTGTCTTTGTGACTTTGTTAATCTGTAGGTTGGTCACCAAGAAACCTAAACACCAGCGAGGTGGGGATCACGCCTTACCGAGGCTGTAGATCTCTGTCACCAAACACTACAGTGAGCCAGGCTGCTTTGCCTGTGCTGACCAGCCCATACTGCTCTTGTGTTTTCTTCATTAAGTTTGGAATAGGAGAAAGCAGTGGTGGGCAGACAGCAGGAACAAAACAAAACAACTTGGACCTCGCAAGCCTTTTATTTGTGGCAGAGTGGAAATAATTGCGGCTGCCACCAAAGGGCGGGAGTGGACCACAATACAAGGCGGAAGGCAGGCTAAACAAACTTCAAAGTGAGCTCAGGAACGCATGCCTGACCTGCCTTTCTGATGTTTCTGTATTGTTTTTCTTAACCCTGTCGAGGCCTTCTTCTCCTTCTTCTTCTTCTCCTTCTCCTCCTCCTCCTCCTCCTCCTCTTTTTTGCCACAAACAAATTTGCATTTCTTTTAAACAACTTTATAGCTAATTCCTCCCTGTCTTTCACAAACCAAAAAATCATCTTTTTGTAAAATCAGAGTATTTGTTCAAGCTTTGACATTATAAGAAAGAGACTCCTTTTGGTATTAGTGAATTTACTGCTTGTGCCTCTCTCTCTCTCTCTCTCTCTCTCTCTCTCTCTCTCTCTCTCTCTGTCTCTCCTTTTCTTTGTTTCTTTCTTAAAGGCAAAGGAGATTGGAAGAAGAAAAACAAATACTTCTGGCAGAATTTCCGAAAGAACCAAAAAGGAATAATGAGGCAGACTTCAAAAGGTACAATGATGTGGGTCCCTGTAGCTTCCTGACACTCAGAAGCCTGTCCCTGATCTAATGGACCCCTCCCCCTCCCCCGCAATATAGGATTAACTCATCGCTTATAGCTTCAAGATAGTCAACTTTTCCAACATTCCTTTCATGACTTCAAGATTTGAAAAAAAGTAACTAGATGAGATTGTGGTCTTCTGATGCCAGGGACCACGTCTGCAAATGTCCCCCTCATGCCAGCCACCCTGCTTTTTCTCTTAAAGTCACCAAGCGCTGACCCCAGTGGGTCAAGGGAATCTCTTTGCGTTTGTTAGTTTTGGCCCCTGCAGTGCATACCCCCACTTGGAGCCTTTGCATTCTTCTGAACACTTTGCTCTGTGACAGGGACAGTTATGGGGCTGTTGTCCCTGGAAACCCTCTTTGGGTCTGACATCATGAGAATTTAGCTGGCTGCTCTGTTGAAGGGAGCTCTGCCCTTTCTCCAGGCCTCGCCTTTGTTTTTGTTTAGATAGCAAATAAATATGTCGTCCTCTGGAGCCTGAGTTCTGTAATTTACGTTTCTCCCAGTATTCACAAAGGAAACCAGAACACATAGACTTCGACATTCCTGTCCCACTGAAAGGGGTTATCAATAAGTGAACATGTTTTGCTGTCCACCCCTGACACTCTTTTCCTTTTGCACAATAACATGACCTCTCCTGGCTGGAAGTCTCTCCAGTCACTCCCACCCAGACACCAGAGACTTGGCTGTGGACTTTAGCTTCTCTCTCTGCACACCTGAGTTTTCAGACGGCTTTCAAGTGACTGTTTTTAGTTGTCCCACTTTGAGGGAGTTAGTTATTCTTCAATAAACTCCCAGCTTTCCGTTTTGGTAGAGACCCAGAATCCTCTGTGGTTCTGAATAGACTTTGCATTCTGACAAAGTTTTTACTTAGAAAGCTGTAGAGAAAGAAGGCAGTGAAGAGAGGGCGGCAAGGCCTAAAGAGAGAGCTCAGTGGTTAAGAGTACTTGCTGCTCTTCCAAAGGACCAGGGTTTGGTTCCCAGTACTTATGTCAGGCAGCTCATGTTGTATTTAACTCCAGTGCCAAGGGAATCTGATGATCCTTTTTTGCCCTTTGTTAGCACCCACATGTGCCATTCATTTATACAGAGACATGCATACAAATGTTAAGAAGTCAGATAGATAGATAGACAGACAGACAGACAGACAGACAGACAGATAGATAGATGTGATAGATATGATAGCGTCAGCAGTTCACACGGCTCTGTGAAACACTCAAACAGCTCCGTGTCACTCAACACAGGAAGTAAAATGAGTCAAACGAGTAGGCTTCTCTCCACATCTACCATGCCCTTTCACTTTCCCACAAGGGGATAACTGGTTACAAAATGGAAATGAGATGCCAAGCCACAGGGAACACAAATCACAAGCTAGGTCCTTCCACCATGGTTCCCCATGAGTCTCCAGGTAGCCTCCTTAGTTCTGTCCTTGTGCAAATATGGTATACAGACTGAAGTCCCAATGATACCAGAAGCCACATAAGGATGTTGAAGGAAGATGGGGCTGAGGAGAGGGGCCACCGCCTACAATATGGCTTCCTCCTGTATGTGTGCTAGCTTACTGTCAATAAATCCTTTCCCACATGCTAACCAAAGATGCAACTGGCCAATGGAGCTCAAGAGAAATGGCGTTGTTTGCCGTGTGGGAAAGACTTTTTAGAAGGACTCAGAAGAACGTATTTTCCTCTGTAGTTCTGGTAGCTTTCAGCTCTAAATGAGATGGTGGCTGCCTGTCACAGTCTGCAGGCCCATGTGACTGCAGTGCTTCCAGATGCAGGTAGCTGTAGTACTTGCCCTCCACGAGGCTGATGTGCTTAGCATTCTGCTTTATTTATGTCTTTATTCTGTGAGAATACTAGCCAGATAGCTCAGTAGAGAAAGACAGTTGAATTGGGCTTAGCAGGCTTGGTTCTGTGGCTTGACTTCCCATGCTCCCACACAAATAGATGTCCTTCTCATTCATATTTCACTTGGTAAATTACTAGCCCAAAGAAGCCTCGTGATGCCTGTCTGATCAAGTTGAGTGTTTAAGTGAGATTCCTGGTCCACCTGTAACAAGAAATTCCCTGTCAACTTTGTACCGTGTCTAGAAGGCCTAACTCAACACTTCTGGTCATTTGAGAGGATTGCTTCTGTGGTAACTCACACACATTCTTAGCAAGCACTTCCCAAAGAGATGCGCTTCGGTTCTCAGACAAACAGCTTGGCTCTACATCCCTCTGATCCAGCCATAGCATGCAAAGTCGACAGGGTACCCGAGAAACATCCCTCCCTCCCCCAGGATGAGGGGCATCCAGTCTGGAGGGCTGCTTCATCCCTCATTTGTGTTTGTCTATCTTTAATCCCCAGGAGAGGATGTGGGCTATGTGGCCAGTGAGATTACGATGAGCGACGAGGAGCGGATTCAGCTGATGATGATGGTCAAGGAGAAAATGATCACCATTGAAGAAGCCCTCGCCAGGGTAAGGGTGCAGACATTCAGCTTTACCTATGAGCACCAGCTTAAAAAATGGGTGGGGGCATCAGAGGGTATAGGAATGTAATATCTACAGTGCGCATGTGCGTGCATGTACAAGTGTGCCCTTGAGTATCAAAGTTCCCAAGTATTCCTCTCTAGTTCCGTTCCTCGTGTGTATATGCCCCAGCATTGGGGGAAAGTCCATCAGACTTTCTACCTATATGTATCTTCCTTGTGGTGAGTAGGAGGTTTTCTTGCCTCCTGGGGAGTTGGGGAGGCCTCACTGTTCAAATAGCAAACTCCATCATCTAAATGCAGATATACAAGGCCGTTTCGAGGCACCTGTTTGGCATGAGAGCTGTGTGGGATGACGTTTGCTTGTTTCCTTGAAGCAAGGGAGAACATTTAAAAGGGCCTCTGGATAGTCTAACACAGACTGCCAGAAAAGAAAGGAATAATTTCAAACTTGGAGGAAAAAAAAGAGGGGAAAAATGAGCTCCTAATTTTAGCAGCTAGACCGAAGTTAGAAGCCAGCCTAAGGTGGCCAAGCCTTATGCAAATGAGTGGGAGGTTTCAGAACTGCCTGCAGCCTGGCTACCATTGGCTCGCTGACCTTCGCCCAGTCTCTAGTGGAGCCATAGAGTTCACAAAACTCTCAATTCAGGATTCTGTCTTTTTTAAATGTCAAGAGATAACTTAAGATAGTTTATAGATGATTTCTATATTAGCTGAATGGTTCTGTCCAAGAAAATGGCATGTCAAACAATTTCTAGGAGTTTTGTGATAGACACATGCTTTGGGTTTTAAGGAAGTCACTCTTGTTCATTAAAAAAAAAGATTAACTATTTATGTGGATCTAGGTATTTGGCAGTTTTTGAATAATACAATCAGCAAGTACTCATTCTAAGCACACGAATAACTGTTGGCAATTAAGTTCAGGTCTTCATAGACTAGAAAGTTCCATGACATAGTGTAAGGTATGAATCATTCATCTATCTGGGTGATTTGTATATTTGTATGGGTGGAATATTAGGCTACCACAGGGAATCCACTCCCACGGAAAGCTTTGGATCGAGCTCAGCCCTGCTTATTCTATCACAGGGACGTTCAGTCACAACACAGAGGCCCTATGTCATAGAGAACATACCTTGTTAGTTTTAAGGGGAAAAAATAACAAAGAAAGGAAAGTTAAATGCTGTTGAAAAGCGAGCAAGTTTCACTTAGCCAAGCTGGGCTGAGGCTCTCTCAGAGCGCCATGTCTGAGACGGTCCAGGGGTGTTTACATAAAGCACAGGGATGCTGCACTCAGTACTCAAAATTTCAACTTTCTGGATAGTGTCTGGACGAAGGTGAGAGAGAAAGAGAGAGCCCGTAACCATGGCATTGCAGTCTTATTTTCTTGAAAATATAACTCTTAAAACCAAAGCTGCTATCCATACCGTGACCTAATTACTAGATGGTGTATTTACTCATCTGACAACACACGCCCGCTCCTAAGCTACGTCTGTGTGAGTGAAAAAGAAAGTCCTTCAGAGATTAAAATGCTTGTCGGCTTACAGTTGCCCAGTTAGGAATTTGTTTCTTAGCGTTTTACTTAAAGATGAAGCTTATTTAGTGACTCGTGGTAGCTGGGGCTAAGACTGAGCGTAGGAAGAAGGCCGGACAGAACTGACATACTTTTGAGGATCTTTTTCCACCTGACATTTCTTCCTAAGCATGCAGGGAGGGGGTAGCATCTCAGAAAGCACACATCCAGGTGGGAGGATCAGCCCAGTAGATAGAACATCAGTATACCATAAAGATGAGGACAGTGAATATGTCCCTGGTGATACATGTAAGATTAAAATGATTAATGTCACTAACAGCAGAAGCTTATGCTTCCAATGTGAGCTGCGTGCTTACCCGAAGCCGCAGGGGTGGCAGTCACGATGCTGTATTTGTACATGGATGTGTGCCGGGAGCTTTACCGCATCAGCTTGATTTCAGTCGCGAGCTTCTGACGGGGTTCAATGTGTCCCCTGTTGTCCCAGAGGAGAGGATGAAACAGAGGGGGTCAGTGACCTATCCCAGACTACCAGTGGTAGTGTCTACATCCAGGCTTTTATTCCATAAGCAGTGCTGTCTTCCTCTACCGCTGCCTCCTCTTCCTCCTCTTCCTCCTCCTCCTCCTCCTCCTCCTCCTCCTCCTCCTCCTCCTCC